GGAAAGTAGGTGGCCTGGGGTTTTCTTCAGAACTTAACTTAATCTGAATTCCTGCTTAGGAATTATATGAATTAATATAGTTATTTAATGGAACTGTCAGTAAATGACATAATCAGGACTGGAAACTTACAAGTACAAATTGACCAGATAACTACTAATTATCGTGACAATATTCTTGGTATACTCTGCAAGCATAGTGCATTTCAGTAGCAGTTTCTCTTTTTCATTTTGCTTTAGGTTACAGCTGATGTCTTGGTGATACATCCAAAATTGGGAAGATGACTTTAAGACACTGTGTGTTAGTTTTGTTTTGAAGGTTTGTTATTTTCACCTAAAACTGGACATTGAAGCATTCATTTTCGGGAGAACCTTGCATATTATCTCTTCATGAGCTCAAGTTTGCCTTTTTCTCTGAAATACTGTCCTAAAGATCTGAAAACAGAACATTCCTCCATATTTAGGTTCTCATGATCTGCTCAATACATCATAAAATTTGAGATGTTTTCCTGGGATAAGTAACAATAAAGTATATAGGTGTTATAATATATGGAATGTTAATTCAATTTCATGGACAACGAAACAAAGAAGGAAATAATGAGTCTATTTCAGATTCTTTTTCATCTTACTTTAAATGCAGAAAAAATTAATCTAAAACTGTATGGGATAGACAGCTAAAAACCAGCTTTCTATAATTTTTGTAGTATTTCATATTTGAGATTAGGTAGTGATACCTTCATTATTGCTTTTTTGCTGAATTACATCAGAAAGTAAAATATTAAATGTAGGATAGGAAATAGTGTGAAAATTGCTCCAGGAATTCAGTAGCATCTTTAATACTGCTGTAAAACATGAGGGATCTAGTCTTATTAGGTTAAGACTCTTTCATCTCTAATTAATTACAAAAGGGCTTCAGGGTTTCCTTTTAAAATTTTTAAATATTTGCTTTTAAGAAAATCAGAGTTACTTTTCTCATCTTTTCTCTCCTATTTTATGGCTGCACTAGTTGTGATGAGTTGCATGTCTCAAAGGACAACTGTGAATAAAAGAACATACTTCCTGTAATAAGATTTTCCCAAATACACTTCAGAAAATGTTTCTGAAATGCTCATGATTGTTTTATTTAAATGCATGATACATCTTAAATATGTAAATCAACTCATTGCTCTATACAATCTAGGTAGAATTCTCTGTCAGCATTTTTGCCAAGTACTGGTTGAGTCCACAGTACAGAAAATTAATCCGAGTTGTTATTGGTGAGCACTTGAAAGTACAAAGCCAACAACTGGAGTTGTACTCAGTGTTCAGTAGCTGGAGGAGCTACAAACAAATTTGAACCTGGATAAAAATAACTCTTTATGTCTGAATTTCAGTTCTCTTCTACAGCTTGTGTCTCAGGCAGTTGATTATAGCAATGTCTTGGGAATCAGATATCAGAGCTTTTATTCACAGGCTTGTCATCACCTGGAACCTTGAAGAAATTATGTTAACTAGTCTATACTTCAGCATACCCACCTACAAATATACACTCTGTTTACCTACTGTTTTGCATTTAAGCAAGTCGACCAACCAGTATTAAAAAAAAAAAATCATTATTTTTAAATTTGAGACCTTTGATAGATGATGACTCTTTTTTTTTTTTTTTTCATTATTAGAGCAGTCCAATTTGCCTTCATAATAGTCTTTTTCGTTTCAATATACCATCAAGTGATTACAAAAATTGAATGAGGATCAGAAAGGTCTGTAATTGTTAATGAAATTCAGGACAGCTGAACAGTAGGTGTTTTCCTGGTTAAATAGTTAATATATCTAGGAACAATTGCAAAGCAATGCAATAAATAAAGTGCTGATTTAACATAGTAACTGCTTCCTAACCAGGATCTGGTCTTTTGACATTTCCTGTCCATGGAGGACAATATCTTTTAATATTTGTTACAGTTTATGCTTTTAGAATGGTTTTTAAATGCAAATTTATTCTTCATAAAAAAATTAATTTTAATTAATTGTACGCAAATAACAGCTCTTGACTTGATCTAAGAATTAAATGTTGCCTTGATGGAGATATATATTTTATATTCTGTAGAGCTGGTTTGAGACAGCTGGAAACTGGTTTGTGAAGGAAAATAGCAGGAAGGGCTAAATTACAGTGGTGAATGATACGTTGATACAAGCATCTATCTATAGATAAGGCTGAGAATAATGCTTGTTATTTCTGTCTCAAAACTGAAGATTGTTAGTGAAGTGAAGAATTGGTGAATTCTAGTTTTCTTTCAGCTCTGACGGTTTTGATGTGAGCAATTGTCCTCCAGGTACTACAAGTGAGATCAGGAAGCTCATTTGAATTAACGTGGGAGTAGGATTTGAGCAAAGATACCAAATGATGCGTTCTATTTTCAGCTCTGCTCTAACACAGCAGGCAAGTGGTTATCTTTAAGCACTTATATAGTCCTTGTAGGGTCAGCATGACTCTATGCCTTGCACTTAAATTTTTATATAAGGGGAGCAGGCTAGCAGCCACTGTATCAGCTGCCTGGTTTTGAAGCTTTCCTAGAAACACAGACATTCCAGTTTAACTGAGCTTTGGGGGTCTGTAAGAGGTTATTCTGTCTTGCACCTGCACTGTGGGTCCAGTTCATGTCTTTTGATGTTATGATTTCAGTGGGTTTTTCTAGAAGAAATTTTATGACTGCAGAGCATGCATCAGAAACTGTTTCTAGGACTTCTGTGGAGCCTTTAGGTAAACTTTAGGCCTTTAGGATAGTTTCTCACACGACTTTGTGCTTTAATTGTTTGCAGAAATGTAACTGTGATCTGCACTTGAGTTAAGCCTCTTCTAATTTCTGCCTAATCATTTATGAAACTGCAGAGAAGGTGGCATGTGCTTGTATATTGTTAAGTCCTATGAGCATACTGCATGAAAAAGCTCCATCACCCTTTTCTAGATGGAAGTACACCTGCATTACAGACAGTTCTAGATCCCTAAAGACTGAATTATGAACTTGTGATCTTACAACAGGTTTTTTGTTAAAAACAAACTTCAAAAACATTTTTATGAAAATACTATGCTTCCACTGTACATTAAGATGCCTGTATATGTATAGATACGGACAAACATTCTGAAACCTTTCCAAGCTCTAACCTATTACTTAAAAACTCATTACCTCTACTTTTCTGAAAGCTATGTGGAGAGTGTTATGACAGTAATACTGCCTTGTGGAGAGTATTGTGACAGTAATCACAGTTAATGCAATAAAGTGATAGGAAATCTCTTTGTTTCTCCCCTTACAGAAGAGCACTTTTTAATTTGTTGGTTTTTTTTTTTTTTTAGAGTCAGTAACTGTATCAATGCATTAAGAAGCAAGAGACTGGATGTGCAGTCTGTTTCATGTTGCTTATTAACAAAAAAAGGTAGTGAACCAATCATGATGAAATGGTATTCTTGTTGGTAATGCAGGCTGGTTTCGTTTTAATACCTAATGTGTAAATAATTACTTCAATAGTTTAATGTTTTCCAGAAAAAGGCTACAGAATTGGGTTGCCAAATCAGCAGACGTCCGTTTTAGATCAAAAGGTACTGCTGGACACTAATTGCAGCACAGAAAGTATGTGTTTGAGTCATGGGAGCTGGGGGTTCTTTTACCTCATGCTAGCACAGACTTTTAGCCCCAGCTGCAGTTTTGAGAGATGTGGACATCTACCCGTCTTTTTAAAGAAGTCTAAGTGAAGAAGAAACAAGGATGTTGAAGCACCTACTTAAATGTACTGGAATGTTTTGGTTCTGACACCTCAGAAATCTTAACAAAATTTATCTACTTGTCCCCTGGTGAACCCCTCCCAGATCACTTTCAGAGTGCTCAGTACTCACTTCCAGAGAAACTAGCCCTTTCACAAGGAAAAGAGGGTACAGATTCTGAAGGAATATGTTAAATCCCCCAGAGTGGACCTTAGTTCTCTGCCTGGGACTCAACAGTGACACCACTGTCCTTGCATGCTGAGAGCAGCAAATTTACCTAGAGTGGCGGAGCAGCAGAGCTTTGTCTACAAGCTGTACTCAGAGGTGAAAAACCTGCTGTAGTCCTAGAGAAGTATGACACTGGACAAGGAAATGCCATGATTTGAGATATATAGTAAGTCAATCCCTGTTAACGAATAGGAAGTTCTGGCCAATACTCAGAACTCTTGTGTATGAAATGCAGTAAGTTTGGTCAGATATATGTTATGCTTCTAAATGATTTTCTGAGAATTTTAGGTTGAAGAGTGCTGCATGTACTTTCTAGCTTTTATTCCTGACTCCTGGCAGTTGAGATGCTAGCTAACGACAACTGTTTAAGAGTGTTTTAAGAAGCAGTTTTAAATTGCTCACAAGTATCTCCTACTTCTAGTTGAAATGAAAAAATGCATTATTCTAAATAGGACAAAATGGGTTTGCACAGTGATTGTAATGCACAAGCTTTGTAAGTCATTTAATAAGCAGCAACTTTTAACCTATTAAGATTAAGCAATGTGTTTATAAACACCAGGAACTGTGATAATGTCAGGGGTTAGCTTTTTGTAAACGAGTGGGGGCTTGGGCTTTGTTGTTGGAAAACCAGCTGACGGTTGGTATTACGGTTATCCTCGATGGTTACTTCCTAAATAAAGACGATTATTTAGCCTGAGTGCTGCGCCCTGTCAAATAATTTCGGCGCTCAAATTTGGTTGCATCGGAAGAGCTTCCCTGAGCGCGTTCGCAAGGTAATTTGCAACCTGCGGGCCGGCTGGCTTGCAGCGGTGCTCCATCGCCGCCCCGGCCTTTTCGCTGTGCCCGCTGTGGCCGCTGCCGCAGGACAAGGGGCTGCGGGGGGCCGGGGCCGCGGCGGGGCCGGGGGGCGGCGGTCCCTGGGCGGGCGCGGTGCCGGGGCCGCCGGGCCGGGCAGGGCCGGGCAGGGCGGCTGTTGGCTGTTGCCATGGCTCCGGCAAGCCGGGGGAGCCCAATGAGCGCTCTGCGGCGGTGCCGAGGGGACCAGCCATTTTGCTTATGGAAAACAATGTGACATATTATGCTGTGCCGTACCGGGGAATAAACAAAAATCCCGTCGGGGGACGCAGCAGAAGCCGGGCATACGAGTGAGTAATTCCGGCGACCCGGCGGGCCCGCGAGCTGCCATTTTGACAGACTGGCGGCTGCCGCTCCCGCCGCTGATGGGAGGAGGTGGAATGCGGGGCGATAATGCTGCATATCTGCTGTCAGGCAGCGGAGCGGGGGTTTGTCTTGTAGAGGCGAGGTTCCTCTGCAGTGCTGTCTCGGCAGCTCGCTAGCTGCTGCTCCGAGCGGGAGCCGGGGATCCCGGAGAAGGGTGTCGCCCTTCCTCCCGCCGCTCTGGTGCGCGGCTGGCGCCGGGGCCGGGCGCTGCCGAGGAGCAGGTGTGCGAGGGCTCGGCCGGGCTCCCCTGCGGGCTCCGGGCTGCGCCTCGGCAGGTTGGCGTGGGAGCTGCTGCCGCTGGACTCCTGCACAACAGGGAGCCGCTGTGCGCCTCGGCTGCGGGGAGAGAGAGAGAGGTACGCCTGAGTGCGGTTCTGTGAGACGCAGCTGAGCGCAACTTCATGCGGGAAATATGCTCCTCTAGGTATCTGTGCGTGGAAAGGTTGGCTTTGGTCAGTGGCTGGTTCGGAGTGGTGACTGAATTCATTGATCTGACTGCGTTTTCCTTCAGTGTTTCGATGTGGTGTGTTCCATATGGTTGCTGATTCAGAAGGATGTTTCCAGTAGCTGATAAAATTTTATGCCTGTGCTAAAAGGCAAGGATTTTTTGTTGTTGTTGTTGGGATTTTCATTGTGCTTTTTACCGTCAGGATAGCATGGGTGAAATAAAATATCATAGAACTCCGCGAGCATGTTGGAAAAGCTGTACATCGCTGAGTTCATCATTATTGGATTCCATGCATTGTGTTCAGCCTCAGCGTTAGATTTAAATTGTCCAACTGCTGCTGTGCAGTATGTAGGTCATAATAAAAAGCAGCTTTTTCACCAGCTTTCAATGGACTGCATGCCCCTGTGCTGGGGTTGATTAGTCTGTGGTACTTGTGCTGTTAAGAGTAGTGGTATTATAGCTGGCTCACACCTCCTTTTTAAAGATATCGCACGTACCGTGCTAGACAGAGCACAACACACCCATTGTGTCCCTCCGTTTGGCGTTCAGTAAAAGGAAGGAAACGAGCACTCCACATGGAGCACCAGCACATTAATAGCACAAGACGGTTAAACTTTTATTGAACAATCAGTGATTCTGAGACAGTGTTTTTATTTTCTCTACCCGCAGTAGACAAATGTAATGGGAGGGAGGGGTCTTCTAATAGGCACTCTGTTAGTGCTGTAGATTTTCAGTGCAAAATTAATTGTTCTGAATAGTTATTAATCACAACATATCTGCTTTAGAGGTGAAAACTCTAGGTAGACCTAGGTCAATAAAACCGCAATCCCTCCAGAGTAATGTTTCTATTAAAGTAGCATTTTCCAAATTACCTACTGTATTCTTATGCAGTAATGCAATTTCTGAATTAGCTAGTACTGAAATGCATTAAATTATTCTGATAACTGAAACAAATTTTCTGATTCACCTTCCGTCTGTAGAAAATGGGATGATATTTTGGTTTTAAGTCTTCTTTAATAATTATGTGGATTTAAATCACACTGAAATGAGCCATTTGTTTGGAGAGTTGAGTGGGCATAAAATCAAGAATTTGAAGTCTGATATCTTTATAGTTAAATTAGTAACCAGTGCTGTGTTAACTAGGAGCCAAATTCCAATGTGTTGTTCTGTATATATCCTGCAAAGGCACTTGAACAAGCATGTTCAGGAACAATCCTCCAAATGAGACATTGCAGTATATAATTGGATTGCTACTATGCATTTTTTCTATTAGGAAAGCTCCATCTTACTTGAATCATTCCAGGATTTCGGTTTTTGGTGAATGCATAACCCCAACTTCTTTTTCTATACCTCTGGGTAGGGGTCACACAGTAAGTGGTTTAGAGAGCTCCCTTATCTGTGTTCTATAAAGTAGAATGTGCATTTGCAGTGTGGTACTATATGAATATTTATGATTGAGTCTGTAATTATGATGAAAATTATAAACAAGCAGAGATAGTATTTAAGATGTTGGTAAGCCTTAAACAAAGAAATAGACAGCTTTTGTTACAACAATAAAAAACATGGATAAAACAGTATACAAAAAGTGAAGCATCACTTCAAGGTGGACAAGGTGGATGTAATCTCACTATGAAGAAATTTAAGGTGTTATAAAAATAAGTGAGGACTAGGTATGACTAATCACTGAACAGTGGGCACTCATTTGGTGCATCCTGTTAGTCTCTGTTATTCAAACCAATTTTCTGTACTCTTTCCATTCTGCTTTTCTCCTTTTGTTGTTTTTCTCATATCAGTTCCCAGCTTCCCTCTCTTTCCTTACTGTCTCTTTGGCAACATCTGATCCCCTCTGAGCTATTTGTAAATCAAATCGGTGACTGTCAGTAATGGACATGGAGGTGCTGCAATAGAATCTGGTGCAGAGGAAGAATTTAAATGAGTTAGAGGTAAGAAACAGAACTGAGTAATGAGCGTATCCAGTATGAACTAATTCCACATGATGTAAGATATAAAGGCCTAGAATTGGGTCACTGATGTAGAAATCAAGGGGGCATGCAGTGAGAGGGACATTTTTCATATCATGATGAATTGAAGTGTACTTATAAACAGAAGGTTTACGAGGAGAACATGACAGTAATATGACATAAGACAAATTGGGGTTTTTTGGATTAGAAATGGTAGCATGGAGTTCCTGTTAAGTCTAGAAGTTTTACAGGTTTCAGTGAAACCATGGTTTCTATCAAGAGATGATTATACATTATTTGAAAGCCTTTAGGTTATGCAGAGGCAGACTCTTGGTCAGCAGAGATGTAAATAACATCAGCTGTCATGCTTTAGAATTACAGTCAATTCAAATATTTTTTTTGACAGATGACCTTAGAAGGTGACTGTGGGTCCATGTGTCACTATTAAATAGGATACTAACAAAGCAAAAGCAAGCCAATGAATCCTTAAATGCAGTATCACAGTAGCAGGTGCAAGTAGTAATAGAAATAAGAGACCAAGATGACCAAAGAAGGTAGAATCAAGTGTAATAGCTTTTTTGGTATATTGTTTGTTTAAAATAATTAGCTTTAAGCAAACAGTGATAAGAAGCAGTCAGCCATGGGGTGCATGGAGCACAGTAACCTTTATCAGCCTATGGACTATTCTCATGCTTACATATACAACCAACCTGTGAACAAGAATACAGATGGTATGTGACCAGGGAAGACACTCAGGTATCGAATTAGGGTACACTGTATGATGTTACACTGTGGAATGGCTGAATGTCTCTTCTGTAGTGCAAGGATCGGGTATTGAATATAATGCATCAATTATGAGATTGCATCTGGAGTGCACAAACTGCATCATGTGTGACGTTGGAACTGTATTTCTGCTCCAGTGAGGCTGTCTGCACAAACGTAGAAATAGACGTTTTCAATTTCTGCTTGTTTGTAAACTAGAATTTTATAAACTTATACTTTGGTGTTATGTCCTATTACTGTGATATCGATCCTTTCCCATGTCATTATTTCATATTACATTAAGCACGTTACTGCTGCCAGTTTGACCTTTCTTTTTCTACTGCTGTATGTAGTGTTTAACTTCTTATTTGAGAGATGACAGTACCATAGATACTCTGTGTTCATTTTTCTTCAAATAATCTGGCAAACATGAAAATGTTTTGACAAACGCTGGCCTTTCTGAAATTATGAAGCTTCTTAACATTCTAGGTCTAAAACAAAAGCTAAAAAGACTTTCAAAGGCACTGATGTAATGGAAAACTTCATGTATGGGAGGGAAAAGGGAGAAAAGTAAGTACTTAAAAGGGCAGCATGTATCTGAGTAAAGGCGTGCTGGATGACCAGATTTTAGATCTACTCCTGCTCTCAGTGTTTTTGAAGCATGAAATGTATTTTTCAGCTCCATAAGAGTGATACATTAGAGCTAATGCTGCTGTAAAGTAGGAAATTCCAAAGGCGGACCCTTTTCTTCTGTTATTTCTAACTTCTTTCCCTAAATAGATTGGTTTTTTTCAACTTTCTGTACTGAATACAGATAGTGTTCTGACTCATCCACCCTTAAAAACCTCACCAACCACCATCAGGGGTTGAATAGCACAGATGTGGTTCTGTGTTCTTAAGTAACTTGAGTAGCATACTGCACTTTTTTAAGAAGTGATGCTGAAGATCTTGAGTCTCAAAGGATGGTAGGAAAAAATAAAAATGACAGGAAAAGCAAAAATTCTTCCCCACAATCTTTACTATGATCAAACTATATAGTAAACTTTTTCATTAGTCTTTTCATAAAATAGCTTTTAAATAATGCTGAGATATAGAATAATGAAAGCTTTACTTCTTTTTAGGCTGCTTGTCTTGCATTTTATGTACAAGAGTTTTACGGCTAACTGAAGGTATCCCTAGTTTAGCAGCAGTGGCTGATTAAATTTGTCTGCAAGCATAGTGATTTTATTCTTTTACTTCTTCAGGACCCAAAAAATAGGCAGGGATGTGTCATCAAACCAAATGGAAATTGAATCAGTAACTGTTATTCTCATAGCTGAAAGTCAAATTCGTCGAGATTTATAAAAACAGTAAAATGTATTGATTTCTAAAGGTTGCTTTTGTTTATAGGATCAACAGTTATGCTAATGAGAAATCAGTAGTTGTGGCTGAAGGTCAAAGTAGGTGGAAGGATCTTTTTGTTTTTTTCAAGTAGTTTAAAAGCAACAGGTCTGGTTCATTACTGAATTCTTAGTTTATTTTTCTGAGCAGTGTCAATAGGTGATGTCCCAGTTCAACTGCAGCAAGATCGAAAGGTAGTTCCTAAGAGGCTTAGGGTTGGACAGTGTAGCCCATGCTGAGAAGGGGTGAGAACAATGTTAGGAGCATGACATCCATAGAGTGTTCTTTTCAGCATAATACCTTGTTGCCTGAGGACTCTGAATTAACTGTAGCCTGAATGTAAAGCTTCAGCACCATAGTGTACCTTGAGTGC